GCCTGTAATTTCAGCTACGCGGGAGGCTGAAACAGGAGTACTGTTTGAGCCCAGGGGTTTGAGACCAGCCTGGGCAACATAGCAAAACCTCATTTAAAAAAAAAAAGGGAAAGAAAGAAATTATTTAGACTAACAAGTACACATGCCTATTTGTCTGTCGTGTTCACAGTGAGAATAACCAGATACACAATTTTGTGGAGGCATCTCCTTTCCTAAAGCAATAGTCGTTGTTCATTGAACAACTATCTTGGGTGGCAGATGCTTTAACATGTTATTTCTAACCCTTATAGCAACCATAAGTGATAGATTTTACTATTTTTTTTAAGGCTGAGACAATTGAGGCATAAACAGTTTAATCATTTTCCAAGCTCTCACGGCTAGCATGTGGTATGGCTAAATGCTAGCCCTAATCTGCCTGACCCCAAATCCTGTGTCCCATCCACTGGCCACACAGCTTCTCCCTGAGCATGGCTCTCAAATGACCCTGAGATTTGCTGAAAATGACTGAAGGTAGACATTGGGAGCTCATAAGTATAGTTACCCATGGATCACATTTTTTTAAAGCAGCACTTATTTATACTAGGCTTAAAAAATGATAATGTATCCATACCTTGGAATATTATGGTTCTTATAAAAGAATGGGGTAGCTCTACATGTGTTCACACAAAAGACCAAACTGTACTGTTAGATATGTCTACTCTGATCTTATTTTTTAACATGACTTTAATGTATGTAGGTAGGAGGTGGAGAATCATAGGAGACTTCCAGTGTCTATTCTTAATACTTTTTATTGACGTTTTACATTTATATATTACTTTTTTTATTATTGGGGTCTTACTCTGTCACCCAGGTTAGAACAATCACGGCTCAACACAACCTCGAACTCCTGGGCTCAGCAATCCTTCTGCCTCAGGCTCCTAAGTAGCTGGGACTACAGGCATAAGCCATCATGCTCAGGCAAATTTTTTTTTAATTTTTATAGACACAAGGTCTTTCTATGCTGCCTAGACTGGTCTCAAACTCCTAGCCTTAAGCAATCCTCCTGCCGCAGCCTCCCAGACTGCTGGGATTACAGGCATGAGCCACTGTATCTGGCCTACATTTGTATATTACTTTTTTAATCAAAAAAATTATGAAAGCAATGTGCTAAAGTCATTATATGCCCTTCCCTTTCCCCTCCAACTCCTGAATTTCATGCATCTGTATGGCCTGATAAGATCCAGCCTCCCATGTCTACCGTCTTCAAAAATAAGAAAGTCATTGTCTCATATTAGAAGGCCAGAGGTAGGATAGGACTTAAGTTGGTGAACTCAGTGGTTCATGGAGGTCCTAAACACCTTTGCACTCGCCCATTCTCAGCAGGAGACCTGGTTCCCTGTTCATCCAGTTCTGGCTGCCACAGTTCAAGGCACCATGTGATGCTATGATAATGCCCAGCGGGAAAAGAGGTAACCATTCGTCCTATATTTTCTTAACAGTAAAAACCTATGCGGTAGTCCCTCTTATTCATTATTTCATTTCCCTCAGTTTCAGCTAACCATGGTCAACTATGGTCTCAAAATAGTACATGAAAAATTCCAAAAATAAACAATTTGTACGTTTTCGATCACACATTGTTCTGAGTAGCATGATGAAATCTTTGAGCCATCCCACACCGTGCCACCTGGGATGTGAATCACCCTTTTGTCCAATGTCTCCATGCTATCTCTGCCACCTGCCCATTATTCACTTAGAAGCTATCTGAGTTATCAGATCGACTATCACGAGATCAGTATCCTGGTGCTCGGGTTCAAGTAACCCTTATTTTATTTAATAATGGCCCCAAAGCACAAGAGTAGTGATGCTGGTAACTCAAATATGCCAAAGAGAAGCCAAAAATGACTCCTTTATGTGAAAAAGGTAAAAGTTCTCAATTTAATAAGGAAAGAAAAAAATTGTATGCTGATGTTGCTAAGATAAATGGTAAGAATGAGTCTCCTAGCCAGGCTCAGTGGCTCAGCCTGTAACCCCAGCGCTTTGGGAGGCTGAGGTGAGTGGATTGCCTGAGCCCACGGGTTCAAGACCTGCCTGGGCAACTTGGCGAGACCTCATCTTTACAATAAATCAAAAAATTAGCCGGGTGTGGTAGCATATGCCTGTAGTTCCAGCTACTTGCAAGGCTGAGGTGGAAGGATCGCCGGAGCCCAGCAGGTCGAGGCTGTGGTGGCTGGGAGCGTGCCACTGCACTCCAATCTGGGTGACAGAGTAAGACTCCAACTCAAAAAAAAAAAGAATGAGTCTCCTATCCATGGAATTGTGAAGAAGAAAGAAAAAGAAATCGGTGCTAGTTTTACTGTTGCACCTCAAACTGCAAGCGTTACAGGCCCAGTGTGTGGCAAGTGCTTCGTTAAAATGGAAAAGGCATTCAACTTGTGGGTGAGGACAGGAACAGGGACACGTTCTGACTGATGGCAATTGGATTCCATACTATTCTTGGTTTCAGACATCCACTGGGGGTCTTGGAATGTATCTCCCGTGGCTAAGGGGGTACCACTGTGCTAGTGACAGCTCCAGCAGACTTCTCACAGCCTAGTCGTCAGAATTGCATCACCGGCTGTTCTGAGCACTGGTAGACAGTGAGGTCACCAAGCCCGGATGGGACAAGTGATTTGTTCCCTGGGGCTGGGGACCTCAGCTTCCCTTAAGGCACGTGGTTTTCTACTCTCTGAACAATATAGGGGTTCCATTCACAAGGGAAAAGAGGGGGGAAGGTTCATGGAGACATTATCCACAGTGTCACAACTATTTCCTAAACTATTGTTGACCCCATGCTCTTGTGAGTGTTCTTACCAAGTGAAGCAATGTGCCCTCTCTCTCCCACCCCATGTATTCTCAGAAGCACCTGGTTTCTGACCCAGGCATACTAGGTTTATAGACTATTTGAATTGTTAAACTGCCAGCTCCTGAATCTGTTATTGTTACTTATGTGACAGTGATAGTCATAAAAGCCTCTGGAATGGGCTGTGGAAAATGTTGCTGTGAAGATGATTGAAATACAACTGATGGAAAATCTACTTTACTAGAGGTCCAAAGTCATGGTCCAGTTGATTTCAGAAACAGCGAATTCTGGAGGTAAGTAAGCAAATGGTTTTTGGTGGTGTTGATATATGGTCCATTTAGCAGGATATATGGTGTTTAACAAGGATTAAGCTGAATAGATTTCAGAGGAGAACTTGCAAAACAGGCAGATCTGTCTTGGAGGTTTTACGATGCAGCTTTCTGAAGGTGGAATGTAATGTCCTCTGCCATTCCTCTGAAAAAAAACTGGAAGATTCCAGCCTGCACAGTTCAGTCATTTGTTCATTTGGAAATGCATCGAGACAGGGGACTAAGTCATGTGTTGCAAACTTGAGGAATTTCTGAGGTGGAATTAGTGATTTTTCTGGTGGTCAAACGTGGTTGAGAGGAAGAAAGAGTGAGAAGAAAGAGGAGATGCTTTCCTAGCACAGACCTGGACTGTGAATTCATCCCTATCTTTATTTCTTCCCCTACTCATCTTCACTACTATAGGAAGGAAAAGTGTCCTCAACCCTCAGGGGTTCAGTGACTGGGCCTCAAAGTAAACTGTCAAAAGACAGATTAACAGGAGGTGCGGGGCAGTGGGGAGCACACAGACTCTATTTGATGTTATAAGTTTTATATGGCATTGGGGTGGGGGGTTAGTTCATAGACAACAGAAAACCTCCCCCAAAAAACAGCTAGGCTTGGAGGCTATTATACTATTTCAACAAAGGGTGATAAATTTGTAGAGAAGTAACAAGACAAAGGAAAGGGGAAAGTTTTACGTTTCCCAGGTGGCAAATTGTAGGCAGGTAAATATATGGGGAAAACTCATGGAAGACAGGGCTATTGTAGCAAGGTGTGTCTGTGCAGGTCCATTCCTGTGAAATTTTCTGCCTTCTTTGTGGCAATAAAACTTCCCCGGGAGAGAAGATTTATGACAGTCCTCATTTCTCAGAAATTTCTGCTTTCAGTCAGATAAGGGAAGCTCCGGGAAGTCTTCTTTCTGCATCTCTTGAATCTCAAATACCTTCAGCTCAAAATAATCCTTATGCCAAAGTAGCCTATTTCGAGGTGGCATATTCTAACTCCCTACACTGCCTTATCCCCCACATACCCTTGGTTTTGACTTGTCCCTTGTGCTGGGTGTCTTGTTTGTCCCTCCCTAGCCACACTTTGCTCTTCTCAGCTCTGCTTTGTGCTCTCAGGGGCTGACCTGTGAGAATGCTCTTTGCCCTCTATCTTCTGGTTGGGTTTGGCACTGGCAGGAGATCATGGGAAGGAGAAAAGCAAATTTGAAAGTGAGGTTGGGGTATTTATTGTCGAAGTTCCCTCCCTGTGGAGTCCCCAAGTGCTGGCTGCATTTCACTGCAAAAGAAATCAGCGCAAATAAGGCTATCCTCTCCCCAGTTCTATCTCCCCAGGTTCAGGAACGCACCCCCTCATCTGCCCTGAAGACTCAGGGGTGGTAATAGCCCTACTATTACTAATCTGGGGTGCTGCACTGTGCCTTACAGTTTCCCTGCTCTCTGCCCACGCCTTTGTAAATAGTTTCTTTATGAAACTCTGCTTGAGCTATCCTAATTTGAGGGTGCCATCTGTTTCCTGCTGATACACTGCTCTGATTTCAACTTATATGGGTTGAATGTTTTTGCTTGGTGATATTTCTGTGTTCTTGCCTCCTGAATCACCGCAGAGCATAGTGGCAAAGACTTCAGTCTCTGAAGTTGCATAGAACTGGGTTCATATCTCACTCCACCTTCTACAGTGAAAAGACCTTGGGCCAGTCATTACATCTCTTTGAGCCTCCATTTCTTTATCTGAAAATGTCAATAACAGCAACAATAATAATAATAGTGGCTAGTGCGCCATTGAAATTCCATGTGGATCAAATGAAGCAATAGGGAGTAGTGGGGAGTGTGACAAACTGCAGCCCTCATGCCCGTTCTAAAAGAGAGGCAGTGATTCCCACTTCATTAGTGATGTGGTGATCTCCTCGGATGACCAGTTTACACTCTTGGGCTCCTGGGATGGGACCCTGTGCCTATGGGATCTCACAATGGGCACCACCATGTGAAGACTTGTGGGTCATACCAAAGACATGCTGAGTGTGGCCTTCTCCTCTGACAATCAGTAGATTGTCTCTGGATCCCGAGATAAAACCATCAAGTTATGGAATACTCTGGGTGTGTGCAAATACACTGTCCAGGATGAGAGCCACTCAGAATGGGTGTCTTGTGTCCCCTTTTCACCCAACAGCAGCAACCCCATCATTGTTTCCTGCAGCTGGGACAAATTGGTCAAGATATGGGATCTGGCTAACTGCAAGTTGAAGACCAGCCACATCGGCCACACGGGCTATCCGGTGACGGTGTCTCCAGATGGATTTCTTTGTGCTTCTGGAGGCAAGGATGGCCAGGCCATGCTATGGGACCTCAAAGAAGGCAAGCACCTTTATACGCTAGATGGTGGGGACGTCATCAATGCCCTGTGCTTCAGCCCCAACCGCTACTGGCTCTGTGCCGCCAAGGGCCCCAGCATCAAGATCTGGGACTTAGAGGGCAAGATCATTGTAGATGAGCTGAAGCAGGAAGTTATCAGTACCAGCAGCAAGGCAGAGTCACCCCAGTGCCCCTCTCTGGCCTGGTCTGCTCATGGTCAGACTCTGTTTGCTGGCTACACAGACAACCTGGTATGAGTGTGACAGGTGACTATCGGCACTCATTAGAAATTTGTGACAGAGCTTTAGAAATAAAAAAACCTGATTTTCTGACTTTAAATAAATAAATAAATAAAAATAATAATAACAAAAGGGAGGTAGTGGCTCCTGGATCCAGGTGATGTTTGTCATGGAAAAAAAGTCATCTTAGAGTTGTCAGCTCTTCTTATACTTCAAACAGCCAGAAATGTAGTTTTATGTATGAAATCTCCCCTTTGCTAGATTGTCAGTTCCTTGAGGACAATAGTGACTGTTCTATTAATTACTATATCCTCAGTGACTAGAATTGTGAGTATGAGGTACTGCTTTAAAAATAACCACAATTGAAAATCACTAATATGGGAAATTGCTAGGAAAGGGGGAGGTGGAATTGACAGTTGAGGGAAACTGCCAAGGGAGGGAGGGGCACACCTCATCAACAAGGGTACCTGCATAATGAGCATTTATATACCTAACCCTGAATTGTACTCCACATCTTTAAAATAAAAAGTAGCCGGGCATGGTAGTGCTTGCCTGTAGTTTCAGCTACTTGGAAGGCTGAGGCAGAAGGATCGGCAGAGCCCAGTGGATTGATACTGGAGTGGCCGTGAGTGTGCCACTGCACTCCAGCCTGGTCGACGGAGTGAGACTGCAACTCAAATAATAACGACAATAATAATAATAACAATAAATACAAAATTTTTAAAAGAAAAAAATCACTAATAATAATGGGTCTTTTTTGAGTCCCCACTAATTGAAATGAAGTAGGATACAGTCATTATTTTCAGAGTCTCCTCTGTGTAACCCCTGGTTCAGATCACCTGCAACCAGGCACTTAATAAATATACTTAGGACCCAAGAGAAGAGTTGCAGCTTCAACCCAAACAGTTCAGATAGCCTCCTCTCCCCATTACAGCCCAAAGATACAAATCCAGTGAGCTGCAGAATTATTAGAGTTTATAAATGCCAAGAGACAGCTCTCCAGCAAAAGAATGACTCAGTGGACACATTGCAAATAAATAATGTATGAAACCACTTCTATTTTAACGGCACTTTGCGGTGACACTAATATTGATGAAAAATGTTAGCATGTGTTAGATGGTGTTATTTTCAGTGAGAGATGAGGTTTGGCAGGCTCTGGGCCTTTTCAAATCATAGCCCAGGCCAGAAACGTAAGTAAGAAATAGCACTCCTCGGCTGATGGTGGTCCCTGTATGGAATAGGCTGCTAGATCAAATAAGACCAACACTTGACCTTGGCAAACATCTTGTGGTGACTATTTGTCTTAGCTTGGGCTACATACCAAAATACCGTCAACTGAGTGGTTTAAAAAACAGCAATAGGCTGGGCACGGTGGCTTACACCTATAATCCTAGCACTTTGAGAGGCCGAGAGTGGGAGAATTGCTTGAGCCAGGAGTTCGAGACCAGCCTGGGCAACATAGCAAGATGTCATCTCTACAAAAAAAATTTAAAAATTAACCAGGTATGATAGCTTGTGCCTATAGTCCCAGCTACTCAGGAGGCTGAGGTGGGAGGATCATTTGAGCGCAGGAGTTCAAGACTGCAGTGACCCATGATCATGCCACTGCACTCTAGCCTGGATGAGAGAGTGAAACCCTGACCAAAAAAACACAGAAATGTATTTTTTTACAGTTTGGAGGCTAAAAATCTGAAATCAGAGTCAGGTTGTGCTGATGGCTGTCTTCTTACTGTATCCTCAGGGGACAGGACAAGGGGGAGATTGTCCTCTTTTCATAAGACCATAGTTTTTTCTAATTAGGACCTCACCCTTATAACCTCATTTTACCACAATTACCTTCTAAAGACCCTATCTCCAGGTACAGTCACATCAGGGATTAAGGCTTCAACATATGAATTTTGTTGAACACAAAACACAATTGAGTCCATAGCATCCTTGTAAGTTGGTTGATATAGACGTCATTCTCAAAGCCCTCTTTCCTAGTCACCTTCTACTCCAGAGGTTGGAAAAGTTAGACAGTCATGTTCCCAGGCCCGTCTGCCGTCTGCATTGGTCACATAAAACACAGTGATTCGGGAGAGTGAAACAGCAAAAAAACTAACATAACCAACTCCATTTTTTTTCAGGAACTGTTGCCCATTCCTGTATGCAGGTTAGGATAATTTTAGAGCACTGAGATAAAACGTAAAAACAGCAATCATGTAGTTTTCAAAACTAACTCTGGAATTAAAGGGAACTATGTAAACAACTAACTGTCTTGTTAAAGACTTACTGGAACATTGTGACCTGACAAGGGACAAAAAGCTTCACAAATCCCCTAGGATTCTTGCTGGTACCCAGATGTCTGTGACCGTGGGTCACCTCTTGATTCAAACCCCTTCCTCTTCTCCCTACCCCTAACATAAAAAGACCCTGAAACTTGTGCTGACTTAGGATGGTTCTTGAGGACATTAGGCCACCATTGTCTTGGTTTGCTGGCTAAAATAAAGTTGCCTTCCTTGCTCCAATACCTTGTCTCTCAACTTCTTGGCTGTCCTGTAGTAAGCAAAGCAAGTTTGGACTTTGTTACAAGTGGAATTCTGCTGAGGGGAGGAAGGAGGTTCTAAGGAGAAAGTGTGCTAGCCTGATAAAAGGGCAGATGTGGTCAGTCAGTCAGCACTATCTGTTTCACTTTCTTCCTGCCCTGAAGCAAGATGTGGTGTCTAGAGCTGCTGCAGCCATGATAAAAAATTTAAAAAAAAAAAAAAAGGCACAGAAGAAAACAACTGCAGTGGCAGCAGCCCTGATGGCACTGAGCCTCTAAACCAAGGTTAGTAGTTGCCCATATTCAGACTAGGTAAGAAAAAATAAATGCCTATTTGCATAAGAATCTGTAAGCTGGATGTTTTGCTCAACACAAATGAATGCAATTTGATACTTATCCTTTCTGTGCCGCTGTGATCTCATCTGTATAATGGGAATCATAACAGTACCTACTGTTGTCGTGGGAGGTGAGAGTTTTAATGAGAATCTGTTTAAAGTCTTGAAATAGAACTTGGCACACATAGTAAATCCTCAACACTAGCATTTTATGTGTTAATAAATAAAAAGACACTGGGTTGTTTTTCACTCTCCTGAATCCATCACAAATAATCCTCAGATAAATGCAAGGAAATAGAGACAGATATATGGGGGTGGGGGGAACAGCGGATTTGTCTTCAGGAGACCAGATTCAAAATGTCTAGCAATAAGGAAATGATCATATAGACAAAGACACATCCACTCCATGAACTACATATACAGCTATTTAAAATGCATAATAAGACAATGCAAAGACATGGAGAAATACTTATGATAAAGTGTTAAGTAAAGCTGGGCATAGTGACTCACGCCTATAATACCAGAACTTTGGGAGGTCGAGGTAGGAGAATTGCTTGAGCCCAGGAGTTCTAGACCAGCCTGAGCAACATAGCATGACCTCATCTCCACAAAATTTAGCTGGGAGACTCAGGCAGAAGGATCACATGAGCTGCACTCCAGCCTGGGTGACAGAGTGAGATCCCTGACTCAAAAAAAAAAAAGTTAAATAACAAAAAAAAAAACACACACACATATACAAACTACATTTCAAGATGATGTCAATTGTGTAAAATGGGTAAAAATGAAGAGAAATAACCCAAAATGATTATCCATGAACTTATAGGTAACTTTTGCTCCTTTAAGAGTTTCTGAATTTTCCAAATTCCCAGTAAATATATATATATAAATCATTGTAAAATAAAAAATATGAATCATTCAAATTGTTTCTCACTTATACTTTGCTGTATTTTCAAAATTACTTGCAATATTCTCATACTACTTATATAGGAAGAAAAACAAGTTAGTTTTTAAAATAAGAAAAACATATTTTTTGCCCATAGATAGAATGTGATCCATCTTGGGAGCATTGTAGAATCCAGATAAAAAGCATACTTCAGTTTCTTAAAAGCTGTCAACAACATAACCTCATCTATTTTAAAATATAACTGTGTCCCAGGAGTACAGTCACAGAGAGGGCTCACTCCTGCTTACCAAGAGTACAGGCGGAAGAATAGGATAGAGTGATCCTCAGTACAGGCTTTCGTTTATAGTCATGTGGGAAAAACTGAGGCAGGAATTTTTTTTCCTTTTCCCTTCTTCTAAGTTTATACATATTCCTATAAATTTTTTTTTTAATTTGGTTATTAAGTTCAGCTATGCCGGTTACCAGCCGCGTGGCACAGGAGACAGATAAATTGCATAACCTTTTTAAAACTCCACTTTCCCACCTCTAAAATTAGATTTACAAGATGATCTACCTCACTGAGGAAGGTGGTGTTCATATTATTAGCATGTGTTACAGTTCCTTATAAACTGCCACTCCTAATGCAAACTTTAGTGAAGGGAATATAGGCTCTAATTAGGTTGTCTTGGTTAACATCCCTGCTGTGACACTAAATAGTGTGTGAAATTTAAGCAAGGTATACAACCTTCACTGAGCCTCAGTGTTCAGAGCGAGAAAATGGACATGCTATATTTTATTAATATAAGACTCCTAGAGTGTTATAAATACTAAGTAAAGGAAAGTTCTAGTTATATTGTCTACACTTTCCCAGGAATAATCAAAGTTAGCTCTTCTACTTGGAAGGGTCTCCCCAAGAGACAAAAGTAAACTTCCTTTAAAACCATTGTAAAATCATCATAGTGCTAAGAAGAGGAAAGAGGAACTGGACAAGATGCCTGGTTCCCTACCCCCGTCCCCTGGAGCATTTTCCAGACCCTCTGACCAGCTGGACACCAAAGCTGGGAGCTGCTGAAATATTACCAGAAAAGAGGTCAAGAGAGTCTAGATGTGAAAATATATGGAAAAGGACTCTTACATTTTAACTGACAAAGGTTTGACTGCCACCAGGACTTAGGAAGTCACTGTGTTCTTAAATCATCAAATCACAGCAACCTGGTACCATGAATAGGCAGACTTTTGAGTACTGTATCCAACTTTCCAGCACATCCCATCAACAAGAGCTGATAAATCATGACCTTCCTCTGTTATCTGAGAGTGGCAAATCAATACTTCCATTATTATTATTATTATTA